AACTCACCCAGATAAAGCTGTAGCAGGTCGTTGCATTGACCTTTTAAATGATAATGTGATGTCTTACTACAGACAAGTGTTAAAATGTAGGGAAAAACAAGTGTCATTAGACAAATTCTTAGTAAAACAAGCAAGTCCTAGTGGTATGCAGGCAAAATGTGCCAGAGTGTGCATACCAGTGAAGTCCTCACTGCCTGATGTGATAATGGAAGGGGACTCCCCTTCCAAACAGTAACTCCTCTCTTCCTCCTACCTCCTCACGATCTTCCATACGCCTACAGCATTCAACAGCAAGGTAAGTAATAACTTGAACATTGTTTTGTAGGTTTATTTAGATGAATTAGGTATAAAAATTTAGTTTGATGTGGGGTTTTTGGGGTAGTCAGGAACGGATTAATTCATTTCCCTTTATTTCTTATGGGGAAATTAGCTTCGGAATGCGAGTTTTCGGAATACGAGGCGTCTCCAGGAACCAATTAAACTCTTAAACTGAGGTATGCCTGTATTATATATATATATATATATATATATATATATATATATATATATATATATATATATATATATATATATATATATAATTATTTATTTATTTATTTATTTTGACATTATTAGGCAATGCTGTGGTCACAAGCTGAACAGCAGTGCAGTGAGCTCATACTTAGTGTGGCAGCCTCGGTTGCTCACTCAGTTCTGAGGTTCTCACACCCGGGAATGTTGTCCACGATTATTTTTTTTAAGATGGCATCTGTTTATAAGAGCCCTGAGGAAGCTGATGTGAATCCAATGTAGCCGCGGGAGTTTTGAATCATACACTAAAAATATAAGATCCCAGAGGCACGTTGCGCACCCTCCGTCGAGTGCCTGCAGGCGCGTTGCACGGTTCAGTGGTTAAAGCACTACAAATGTTAAAATGTTTTTCCAGAACACTTTGAGGGTGAGGTTTGTGGCATCAGTCACTTCAAAACATTTCTGGAAAAGTGCCCTTTCATAAAGTTTCTTAAAATTCGCTATGATTTTCTGGTCCATAGGCTGAATTAGAGGTGTTAGTGGTGTTAGGAAGAAGGAACCTTATTGTGCCAAATTAAATTTGTCCAACAATGCATTTTCCAAGCCTGGAGGATAAGCAGGAGCATTGTCGAGGAGAAGCAGGGCCTTGAGTGGCAAACTTTTCTCTTGTAGATATTTTTGTATGGCAGGGCACACCACCTCATTCACCCACTCTGTAAAAAATATTCTAGTCACCCGATGCCTTACTATTTGCCCTCCACATCACACACATTTGGTTTTCCTGCACACTATATTTTTTTAAATTTGGATTTTCAGAAAGATACACAAGCAAGGGTTTAATTTTCAAATCACCACTCACATTTCCAAACAGCACAGGAGTAAACCTATCTTTCATAGGCTTGTGTCCGTGCAATGAATTATCTACTTGAGCTCACTTTGTTTTCTTAGGTTCATACTAATTATAGGATTTTAACTATCCATTACTAAGCTAATTATCTTTAAGATCATTTTACTTTATGATTATTATTTTTTATTTTACATTTATATTGTCAGTCTTCACTGATTTTTTGTTTTTCTTCTTTTATTTAACTTCTGTGTCCTTCCTGGGTATCTATTGGATCTTTATTTTACTTCTAATTTGTTACTATTTTATGTGTATTTGCTAATATTCTTGTGTTTTGCTATAATTACTTTGTTTTTACAGCAGATTTAGTATTTATCTGTTTCTATAATTGCTTGTCTTATTGTATTTTCAGTTTGATCCCTCTGCATCTCTATGCACACTGATATTGATCCTGATCTAAATCTTCTGTCTCATATCTACACCAACCAGCACATTGATCATCATTATTGCAGGTATTACACAGCACACCAGGCAAAAAACAAACTCCAAAATAGCACCTGCTTATCAGTTTACAACCAAAATGTTAGATCACTTGGTAAACATTTTGACGATATAAATGCATTACTCACAGCAATAGGTACTAACTTATCGTTCATTATTTTAACAGAAACTTGGCTAAATAAAGACTATACCCAACTCTACAACTTAGCTGGTTATAAAGCTATTCACAACTGTAGGCCTAATAAAAAAGGTGGTGGCACAGCTATATATTACCGAGATACATTTATCTGCAACAGTGTCATTAGTGATAGAGATGACTACTGTGAATATACTTTTGCTCAGTTTACAATTAAATCCCTTAAATCCTCCTTGACTATTGGAGCCATCTATAGATTTCCCAATACTAACATAGCTTCATTCTCAGATAACCTAAGGAATCTCATTATAAACAACAATCTTAACAAAAACCACATCATTCTGGGAGGAGACTTCAATATTGACCTGGGTCAACAAAATTGCTCTCAAGTCGACTATTTCCTTAACAGCATGAACTCCTGTATGTTAATCCCCACAATCACCAAACCTACCCGAGTCACTCAAACATCTGGGAAGATGTTTGAATGGAAGAAGGAGGAAGCTGGGAACACAGCAACCAGCGAAGGAACACCGGAGGAAGGACCCAGTAATCGCAAGTGTGGCAAGAAGGCTACTCTGAAGATACCAGAACAGCCGTCTGAACCACAGTCTGCCCAACATGTAAACCAGAAGGCAAAGTTCAGAATCCCGCACAGCTGCTCGAACAACGCCAAGTCACCCGGATCCCCCACAGCACCAATGGACCTCAGAACTGTAGTTAGAGCAATGCCGCAGAAGACAAGAAAAGAAAGGCAGACAGAAAATCTGAAATGAGGCCCAACCAAGTCTGAACCTGGGATGGAACCAACTGGGACTTCCAGCATTTCATCAGGAACCAGAACCCAGTGAGCTGGGAAAGGACAAAGCTAGCAGATAAACTGGCTGGGAGCCCATACCAGACAGTCGTCGAGGAAGACCAGCACCTAAAGATCGAACAATGAAGATGGGTCACCATGACCCAAGTCAAGCGAGTACAAACGCATGGTGCCAGATATACCCTTTCTATAGGAGATCCCTAAATCAGTAAACCTGTTGCCCCACTACAAATCCTAACCAATCCCTAAACCCCAGATGTATAGGGATATGCCTATAAGCATCCATGAGATCTATGGAATTTATCTAAACCCTCACATTGGCATAGTAACATTTGTGACAATAACTGCATTTGCATAGGAAATAATCATGAAACGATAGTATGATTTTCTGGAGGAAGCCCTGTCGACTCCCCGGAGCTTTACCAGGCTGATATGCTAATGTCAGACTTTGGCATCAGTCATGTGTATGGAGTTCTAAGGCCTACCGGGGACCACGGCCAGAACCTGGCCCCCAGAGAGAGGCAAGGGGAGCAATGGCCTATAGAAACCCCCGTGTGGTTGGAAGCATTCTATGTCTGCCATCGACCGGGTCAAGCATCCAGAAAGGTAAGCATTCCAAAACAAACCCCTATTCTGGTTAAAATTGCTACCTAAAGCCGAACTAATGGATAGAACTCCCCAACAGAAAACAAGCAAACTAGTATGACGTCACACGTCACCGCGCCGCTGTCTGTGCAGCTTCCCCCCTCCCCAGGAGGGGGAAGGGGGAGCCCCAGACCTCCCACGCCAGCTATCCCCCCATCAGTTCTTCAGCTGTTGACCTTCCTCTGTGGGTAGTTAGCTCCGGGGGGAGCCGACAGGGCTTCCCCAAGAAAACCAGCTTTGAATGTAATGAAACGCCATTTTCTGGGTGAGACCCGGAGGCTACCCGGCAACCCTCCCTCCCTCCGGTCGGCGGTTTTTCACGTGTTTTGACATCCAGCCTCAGAACTGATGGGTGGATAGCCGGCGTGGGAGGTCTGGGGCTCCCCCTTCCCCCTCCCGGGGAGGGGGAAGCTGCGCAGACAGCGGCGTGGTGACGTGTGACGTCATACTAGTTTGCTTGTTTTCTGTTGGGGAGTTCTATCCATTAGTTCGGCTTTAGGTAACAATTTTAACCAGAATAGTGGTTTGTTTTGAAATGCTTACCTTTCTGGATGCTTGACCTGGTCGATGGCAGACATAGAATGCTTCCAACCACACGGGGGTTTCTATAGACCATTGCTCCCCTTGCCTCTCTGAGGGGGCCAGGTTCTGGCCGTGGTCCCCAGTAGGCCCTAGAACTCCATACACATGACTGATGCCAAAGTCTGACATTAGCATATCAGCCTGGTAAAGCTCCGGGGAGCCTTCGGGTCTCACCCAGAAAATGGCGTTTCATTACATTCAACGCTGGTTTTTTTTGCAGGTCTAGGTAAGCTCCACTACATCTATAAAGACCTATTACATCCATAATAGCATCATGATATAAATCCAGACAATAACAGTTAAAATCATCATATGATGAGAACCACATTACACCATGAATCAACTTAAGATCATAACACTACTTTAAAGGTTAGCCAGTACTTTCTCTAAAAATTACTTTTCCTGAGACTTTTTTTAATTTGAATACACAGTAACCCATTATTTATGCAGTGCAACCTTGATTTGGCAAACTGTATGAAACCAACACCGATTCATTGGAGTGATACCTTCATGAAGCATTTGCAAGATGCAACCTTTTTAAGACAAGAAAAACATAGTGTTTTACATGTTTCCTTTTTGTCACTTTGCTTCCATTTACAAATTCATTAAAAAATGTGGCAGGAGCCATATTAAAATAGCTACCATTCATACCCCACTATTTCCCATGCTCAATTGGCCTAATTTCACCAAACCAAATTTCAATTTTAATATATCATATGATGGACAACTTTCCCACAGGTCTATAAACTCTGGCCCAACCTTCCTAAGCAAGTCCAAATACCCCCTGCTTCACCAATTCTCCAAAAACTTGTTCAGCAAAGGAAGTAAGTCTGGCCTGGACAGCGTGCATTGCAACTGGAGATTCACAGAAAAGAAGTTCGCTGAATCAGGAGTGCACTGGTATTTATTTATAGGCTGTGGTTGAGCCTCATTAACATGATAAAATAGTTTTGGTACAAAATACTCACTTTAGGATTACGTAGGTGAAGAGCCAACTGTATGATGTACTGAACATCAGCTGCAGCTGGATACCGCATGAGAAACTTTAGGCATGTTGTGTAGTCACCAACCAACACTGGTTAAATAAAACATTGAATTAATACTGATAAGATTTTATGTCACTAATAATTATGGAATAATGAGAATATCATATATTGGATTTAAATATTATGTACGCAAGAAACCAGCATTTAATGTAATGAAACGTCACTATCAAGGTGGGCTCTGGTGGCTCCCTAAAGCTACTATGCTAATGAATAGCCAAACTACTAGATGCCATCAGTCACTGAGTTCTTTCGGTTTACTGGGGACCATGAGCTAGAAACTGACCCCCCCCCTACCCTCTAGAATGGTGCAGGAAGCAATGGCACGTATGATAACTATCTATGAATTTATTGGCCAGCTACCCACCAGGTAGGCACCCCAAAATAAATCTTATCTGATTAAACATTGCTACAGAAAGTCAAACTGTTGAACAGAATTTACAAAACGAAAAATGAGCACACAAGAATGAAGTCACAACCATCATCTCACCCCCCCCTCCCCGAGAAGGGGAAAGGGGGAGCCCCAGACCCCCATGCCTGCTATCCATACCCGAGTTCTGAGACTGGATGTCAAGACATGCGAAAATTACCAACCAGAGGGAGGGAGGGTTGCTGGCGAGCCTCCAGGTCCCACCCAGGAAATGGCGTTTCATTACATTCAATGCTGGTTTTCTGTGGAGAGCCCCTTCGGCTCCCTGGAGCTACTTCCTCAAAGATAAAACAAGAGGGACTTACCCGGGAGGCAGTCGCCACTCACTCCTACACTCGAAGTTGAGTGTAGGAGCGCCAACCCAATGTGACACACGCCTGACTAGGGGCCAGGAACATTAACTAGGTAGCGAGCAGCCAGGACCCCGTTCGACCTCCAAAAACCCCATGCCCGAATGTCAGCCCAAGTCCTATTAACGAAGACGGCAGCCAACGCAGCAAACTTACGAACTTCATGGGCACGAGAATAGTCTGCAAGCTGGCTGGACCAAATAACTCTGAGGACAACCTTGGAGACCCGAACACTGGAACAGGGAAGAAGGGAAACCGAGTCAACCGAAAGCACGTCCCTGGCCACCAAGTCCGTGGTGCGTAGTGTTATGATCTCAGCCTACAGGAGAAACGAGTCTCCCTCCTTGAGAGTTATTCGTCAAGCCTGACCTGATTAGAAGGTCTAGCAAATATTGAGGTGATAACGCATATGTAAAATAGTTGCTTGGATATGTATAACAATTTGAGATTATGGGCAATGAAGAAGAAAACAGATAAATGACTGGCTAGGAGATGTGGACATTTTGCTGGAGGCGTGAGGCTCGCTTCTGGAGGGGCTTTGACCTCACTTGAGGCCAGACATCGCAAGGGAAAAGCCGCGCTCCGTTGAGCTCCCGTCAGAAGGGAACCCCTAGTGATATATCTCGAAGAGAAGAGAAGTGTGCAGACGTACCAGCTGTGGAATCGAGCTGGGGACGTGTGGTCTCAAGTCATGGGCGATAATTAGTGAATATTAAGCCGCCCGGAGGCATTATTGTGGGCCGTGGAGCGCCCTGACCAAGCCTCGTCAGAGGAAGAAGCGCCCTCGACCAGACGATCTGTGGTAAGCACGATATACGCCAGTTCATAGTGATTGCTCGTAGTTGGTCGTGTGCCCAGCGACAGTAGCGATGTTTATTTATAAGTTAGACATGTTTTAATAAGGCAGAAGGCCTGAAATAAGAGAGTGGAGAGGGAGGAACACGGAGCGACGTCCATCCCCTCTGAGCGCTGGCGGGCGACTGAGGGAGCCTGGCTCCTGACGGAGGAAGACCCAGCGAGTGAGGACCGCCGCCAGGCGAGGTGGAGTATGGACCCGCCCAAAACGGGGGAGTCCACTCTCACTGTATGTAGAGAACAGATAGAGGTTGGAGGCAAACATATTGTGTGATTATTTTTGTTTATGTGTCAAAGGGGAAACAATTTTATTGGAGTGTCGATGGGTTGCAGGTTTGTCTTTGAGGAAGAAGTTGCTGAGAACTTCGAAGCCAGCAGATGAAGTAGCTGATGAGACTCCAAGATAGTGGAGGCGAGGACCTCGAGCTGTGAGAAGCAGTGAAGAGGAGTGTCACGTGCTTCTGTAGAGGTGGTGTAGCAGCCAAGAGAGCTGTGGAGGAACCTAGCAGAAGGGTGAAGCACCGTAGTTGCTCAAGGAAACTTCATGATAGCAGCCTGGAGGAGCTGCAGAGGATCCTGGTAGTGAAGCCCGGAAGAACCTAAAGATATTAGGGTAGTGAACTTCCAGAGGTGGAAGGGAAGTTCTGGTGGATCACTTATAGGGAGTTGATAGTGTTTGGTTGTCATTAGCGTGCAAGACGCAGTGAGAGGTGAGTGACTGTTTGCATTCTTATGTCAAGGAGTGTTTTATACTGAAGTTTAGAGTTACAGTCATAGGCTGGATTACCTACAGACGTATGCGTTCTAGGACTGATAGAGTGATCGATTGATCATTGTTGTGTATCAATGAACATTTATACTGATATATGTGATTACATTCAAATGCTGATTTTCTATATATATATTATCTTGCTGATGGTGCAACAGTGTATGTAGACTTGATCAACTTGAGGTGGTTGATAGTATCAGGTGGTGAACCAGGAGATAGGATACCACTTGATAAGCTGATAATAGAGTTCTGATGGTGTTGGAGTGCAACCTGATTGTAATATTATAGAGTATAGGATTCATTATTATTATGTGTGTGTATGTGCTTTGTCCAGTAAATGTATCCCAATTTGCTGGTGTTTGCCCTTGTCCTAGTGAGGCTTCCCAGGAGGTAGTAAAGAAGGAGAGAGAGAGAGAAAGAACCAAGAACCACTGCTGTGGGCAGGGTAGAAGGTAATACTAGTAAGTCATAGGGGATTGAGGAGATCATACCTCATAAGGAGGAGAGAGTGGGGAGTCACAGCGGCTCAAGTGGGTGTGTGCACGTGACAACGAGGCTAAGTGTTGGAGCCGCATCCCCTAAACGTGTGACGTTGAGCCCCTCTCCAAGAGCCAGAAGCGCCAAGGGTGATCTCCTAGTATAAGCACTCTACCGAGTTGTGTGGGTTGGGTTGTCCATAGAGAAGAATCAACGACAACACCAACCAACCCACAGTCTATAATAATTGGGGGCCTGTGTCCGGGAGAGTGAACTGACACACCCACACCCTGTCCAAGAGTGGATTTGTACACCCTTGCTGAGATAGATAAACTGTGTGACCGCAGGTGTATATTCTCTCTCTTGGGAAGATTCACAGGACAAAGATGGATAAGGTGCAAGCATTTGTGGAGTCAGGCAAGCCTGAGGACTTGGAAGGTTGCACGAGGGATCAATTGAAGCAAATAGCAGAAAAATGTGGCATTAGGTTGAAAGCATCTAAAGTAGCTGGGATGAAGGATGAGATCCTTAGACAGTTGAGAGCCAGAAGGGAAGCGGCAGAGCAAGGAGCCCAAAAAGGAGCTGAAAGTGGAAAGGAGGATGATAGGCAGGATGAAGTGAGATCCCAGGGATCAAGTAGGAGTAGCAAGAGTAGCCGCAGTAGCAGGAGTAGCCGAAATAGGAGCTTGGAGAGATTCCAGTTAGAGCTCCAGATGCAGCAACAGCGTGAGGACAAGGAGAGACAGTTCCAGCTGGAAAAGATGAAATTAGAACTCCAGATAAAAGAGAAAACCAGACTGGAAATAGAAAAAGAGAAAACCAGACTGGAGGTAGAAAAAGAGAAAACCAGACTGGAAGTAGAAAAAGAGAAAACCAGAGTAAGAGAACTGGAGTTGGAACAGGAGAAAGAAAAAGAGAAAGCAAGACTAGAGGTCGAAAAAGAAAAAGCCCAGGTCGAAAAAGAAAAAGAGAGAACAAAACAAATGCAGATAGAAGCGAATAGAACCTTGGCTGAGCAAAGGATTGAACATGGGTTGCCAGAGAGCACCACCCAGGTATCATGTAATACAGCTGCAGACACCAGACATTGTTGCACTCATGGAGACAAAACTTGAAGATGTAATTTTAAATGAGGTCATATTCCCAAGGGGCTACTCAATTTGGAGACGGGACAGAAAAATTAGGAAAGGCGGTGGCGTTGCTGTGCTGGTAAAAGAACACCTAAAGGTGAAGGAAATAATGACTGCCAATCCACAAGAAGTTGACATAATAGCACTAGAGATCTGCTATGAGGATGATAAACTAATGATGATAAATGCATATAGTCCACCGCCAAGCAGCACATGGTCAAAGGAGGAGCTAGATAGTAAACGTGAAGGTCTTATAACAATAATGAGAGAGATTATAGCGAGAGCGGATAACGATAGATCACGACTGTTGATAGTCGGTGACTTCAACTTGAAATCCATAGACTGGGAAGCATATGAAGCTAAAACAGAAGATTTTTGGACCTGTAAATTTGTAGACCTCATCCTGGAAACATTCTTGTATCAACATGTTAAACAAGCTACGAGGATGAGGGAAGGGGACGTTCCCTCCATGCTAGATTTGATATTTACCAGGAAGGAGGAAGAGATATTTGACATTCAGTACCTTCCTCCCTTGGGTAAAAGTGACCATGTCTTTTTGGGAATAACGTATGCAATGTGTTATAAGCTGGAAGAAAATAAGGAGGTTGAAGCAGTTGAAAAACCAGACTTCAGGAGAGGACATTATGGTGACCTTAGAAATTTTTTTAGTGAGTATAATTGGACAGACTTGATGCTAGGCAAGGAAGTGAATGAGATGTATGGCAAGTTTTGTGAAATATATGATAAAGGCACAAACAAATTTATACCAAAACAGAGATGCAGAACTAGGAAACAGGATTGGTTCAATAGAAATTGCGAGAGGGCTAGAGACTGAAAGACACAAAAATGGAATCAATACAGGAAAAGGCCGAACCCCCAAACATACCAGCGATACAAAGATGCGAGAAACAACTACACGGCAGTGAGGAGAGAGGCAGAAAGAAATTTTGAAAAAGGGATTGCGGACAAATGTAAAACAGAACCAGGTCTATTCTATAAATTCATAAACAACAAATTGCAG